GGCTCATAGGGCTCAGAGGGTTCGGAGGAAAAAGAGGGTTTAGAGGGGCGACAGGGCTGATAGGGCTCAGAGGGCTAGGGCTCCGAGGGTTCCGAGGGCTCCGAGGGCTCAGAGGGCTCAGGGGGCTCAGAGAGCTCATAGGGCTCAGAGGGTTCAGAGGGCTCAGAGGGCTCAGAGGGGCCAGATGGCTCCGCGGAAGGCTCCGAGGGTTCCGGGGGCTCCGAGGTCTCCGAGGGGGCTCATAGGGCGCATAGGGCCCACAGGGCACATAGTGCTCTGTGGGCTCCGAGGGCTCCGAAAGCTCAGAGGGCTCTGGGGGCTCTGAGGGCTCCCAACGCTCGTATGAGCTCCTAGGGCTCCGGGGGCTCCGAAAGCTCCGGGGGCTTCGAGGGCCCCGAGGGTTCCCATGGCTCCGGGAGCTCAGAGGGCTCAAGGGTTCGGAGGGCTCCCAGGGCTCAGAGGAGCCAGAGGGCTCAAAGGGCTCAGAGGGCTCCGGAGGCTCAGAGTGCTCCGGGGGCTCCGAGGGCTCCGAAGGGCTCCGAGGGTTCCGAAGGCTCAGAGGGTTCAAAGGCTCGGGGGGCTCAGAGGGTTCAGAGGTCTCAAATGATCATTGGCTCATAGGGCTCTTGGGGCTCCGAGGGCTCCAGAAGCTCCGAGGGCTCCGAGGGCTCTGAGGGCGCCGAGGGCTCGGAGGGCTCAGAGGGTTCGGAGGGTTCATAGGGCTCGGAGGGCTCAGAGGGCTCAGAGGGCTCATAGAGCTCATAAGGCTCAGAGGGCTCCGACGGCTCAGAGGGTTCAGAGGGCTCGGAGGGCTCAGAGGGCTCAGAGGGTCAGAGGGCCCAGAGGGCTCAGGGAGTTCCGGGGGCTCCGACGGCTCAGAGGGCTCCGAGGGCTCGGAGGGTTCGGAGAGTTCCGAGGGCTCAGAGGGTTCAGAGGGGCCAGAGGGCTCATTGGGCTCATAGGGCTCCTAGGGCTCATAGGGCTCAGAGGGCTCAGGGGGCTCAGAGGGCTCAGAGGGCTCAGAGGGCTTGGAGGGCTCATAGGGCTCATAAGGCTCACAGGGCTCAGATGGTTCCGAGGGCTCCGGGGGTTCGGTGGCCCCAGGGTGCTCCGAGGGTTCCGAGTTCTCCGAGGGGCCAGAGGGCTCCAAGGGCCCCGAGGGCTCGGAAGGCTCAGAGGGTTCGGAGGGCTCAGAGGGCTTATATGGTTTATAGGGTTCATAAGGGCTCAGAGGGTTCAGAGTGCTCATAGGGCTCAGAGAGCTCCGGGCGGTCAGAGGGCTCCGAAGGCTTCGAGGGCTCATAGAGCTCATTAGGGCTCCGTGGGCTCAGAGGGGCCAGGGGGCTCACACGGCTAAGAGGGCTCCCAGTGTTCCCAGTGCTCCCCGAGATCCCAGGTCTCCGAGGGATCAGATGGCTCGGAGGGCTCAGAGGGCTCAGAGGGGCCAAAGGGCTCAGAGGGCTCATAGGGTTCATTAGGCCCATAAGGCTCATAGGGCTCAGAGAGCTCCGGGGGCTCCGAGGGCTCCAAGGGCTCCGAGGGCTCCGAGGGTTCCGAGGGCTCAGAGGGCTCAGAAGGCTTTCAGAGGGCTCAGAGAGCTCATACGGTTCAGATGGCTCCGGGGATTCCGAGGGCTCAGAGGGCTCAGAGGTCTCGGAAGGCTTCGAGGGCCCCGGGGGCTCCGATGGCACCGGGGGCTCAGAGGCCTCAGAGGGCTTTCAGAAGGCTCGGAGGGCTCATAGGGCTCAGAGGGTTCCGGGGGCTCCGAGAGCTCAGATAGCTCAGAGGGCTCCGGGGGTTCCGATGGCTCCGAGGGCTCAGAGGGCTCAGAGGGCTCAGGGAGCTGCGTGCTCCGAGATCTCAGAGGGCTCAGGCGGGCCAGAAAGGCTCAGCGGGCTCTGGGGGTTCTGGGTGCCCCGACTGCTCCGAGGGCTCAGAGGGCTCCGAGGGCTCCGAGGGCTCAGAGGGGCCAGAGGGCTCATAGAGCTCACAGGGCTCAGAGGGCTCATATGGCTCAGAAGGCTCAGAGGGCTCAGAGGGCTCGGAGGGCTCCGAGGTCTCCGAGGGCTCCGAGGGCTCAGAGGGTCAGAGGGCTCAGAGGGGCCAGAGGGCTCACAGGGCTGATAGGTCTCACATGGCTAAGAGGGCTCAGAGGGCTCCGGGGGCTCCGAGGGCTCTGAGGGCTTACAGGGCTGGCTCAGAGTTCGCAGAGGGGCCAGAGGGCTCAGAGGGCTCAGAAGGCTCATAGGGCTCATATAGCTCCGAAGGCTCAAAGGGCTCATAGGTCTCGGAGGGCTCAGAGGGGCCAAAGGGCCCATGGGGCTCATAGTGCTCATAGGGCTCATGGGGCTCAGAGGGTTCCGCTTGCTCCGATGGGTCCGAGGGCTCCGGGGGCTCGGAGGGCTCCGAGGGCTCGGAGGCTTCCGAGGGCACAGAGGGCTCAGAGGGCTCAGAGGGCTCAGAGGGCTCCGAGGGCTCAGAGGGCTCAGAGGGGCCAGAGGGCTTATAAGGCTCATAGGGCTCGTAGGGCTCCGAGGGCTCCGAGGGCTCCGGGAGCTCCGAGGGCTCCGAGGGCTCCGAGGGCTCCACGGACTCAGAGGTTTCAGAGGGCTCGGAGGGGTCAGACGGCTCAGAGGGAGCAGAAGGGTTCAGAGGGTCTCCTAGGGCTCATAGTGCTCAGAGGGCTCCCGGGGTCCCGAGGGCCCGGAGGGCTCAGGGGGCTCAGATGTTTCAGAGGGCTCAGAGAGACCAGAGGGCTCAGAGGGCTCAGAGGGCTCAAAGAGCTCAGAGGGCTCCGGGGGCTCCGAGGGCTCCGAGGTCTCCGAGGGCGCCGAGCTCCGAGGGCTCGGAGGGCTCAGATGGCTCAGAGGGCTCAGAGGGCTCATAGAGATCTGCTCCGAGGGCTCCGAGGATTCAGAGGGCTCGGAGGGCTCAGAGGGCCCAGAGGGCTCAGAGGGGCCAGAGGGCTCATAGGCCTCATTGGGCTCAGAGGGCTCTGGGGGCTCAGAGGGCTCTCGGGGCTCCGAGGGCTCCGAGGGTTCCGCGGGCTCCGGGGGCTCCGAGGGTTCCGAGGGGTCAGGGGGCTCATAGGGCTCAGAGGGCTCAGAGGGCTCATATGGCTCATTTAATAAGGCTCCGGCGGCTTAGAGGGCTCAGAGGGGCCAGAGGGCTCACAGGGCTCAGAGGGCTCCTAGAGGTCATAGAAGGTTGGCTCCGAGGGCTCAGAGGGCTCAGAGGGCCAGGAGGGCTCAGAGGGCTCAGAGAGGCCAAAGGGCTCAGAGGGCTCAGAGAGCTCAGAGAGCTCCTGGGGCTCCGACGGCTCAGAGGATTCAGAGGGATCGGAGGGCTCAGAGGGCTCAGAGAGCTCGGAGGGCTGGGAGGGCTCATAGGGCTCAGAGGGCTCCAGGTGGCTCCCAAGGCTCCGAGGGCTCCGAGAGCTCCGGGGGCTCAGAGGGATAGGAGGGATAGGAGGACTCCGAGGGCTCCAGGGGCTCTGGGGGCTCCAGGGCTCCGGGGGATCCGAGGGCTCAGAGAGCTCGGATGGCTCGGAGGGCTCAGAGGGCTCAGAGAGCTCAGTGACCTCATAGGGCTCACATATATACATATATATATATATATATATATATATATATATATATATGGTCGACCCCCCCCAGCACCCCCAGACCACCCAAAAACAAACGAAGCACCAACTGATCGTGTTCTCCTCCTCCTCCGTTTCCTCCTTCGTCTCCTCCTCGTTCTCCGTTCCTCCTCATTCTCCTCCTCCCCCTCTCCTCCTCCCCCTCCTCCTCCTCCCCCTCCTCCTCCTCCTCCTCCTCCTCCTCCTCCTCTTTCTGGCAGACGGGAAACTTGTAAAGACACAGATATTACATATATGTTTTTTTAATGTTTTGGTAAGGAAACCCTGTGAAAACACAGATGTTACATATATGTTTAAAGGTTTTGGTAAGGAAACCGAGTGAAAACACAGGTATTACAGATATTATTAAGTTTTTGGGGGACGTGCGTCGCCCCATCCTCCACCTCCCCCTCCTCCTCCTCATCCTTCTCCTCCTCCCCCTCCCCCTCCTCCTCCTCCTGGCAGAGGGGAAACCTGTGAGAACACGGTGAAACATATCTATAATATCTGTGTTTTCACAGGTTTCTCCTCTGCCAGGAGGAGGAGGAGGAGGAGGAGGAGGAGGAGGAGGAGGAGGAGGAGGAGGAGGGGGAGGGGGAGGGGGAGGGGGAGGGAGAGGTGGAGGATGGGGCGGCGCACGCCCCCCAAAAACTTGATAATATCTGTAATATCTGTGTTTTCACAGGGTTTCCTTACCAAAACCTTGAAACATATCTGTAATATCTGTGTTTTCACAGGGTTTCCATACCAAAACATTAATAAATATATATATATATATATATATATGTAATATCTGTGTTTTCACACGTTTCCTCTCTGCCAGGAGGAGGAGGAAGAAGAGGAGGAGGAGGAGGATGAGGAGGGGGAGGTGGAAGAGCCTCCACATCTTGGTTCCTTTTGTGGAAGGGGGCCTCCGCATATTGATTTCACGTGCGGGGAGCCTCCCCATATTTATTCATGTTGTGGACGAGCCTCCACATATTGACTCCTTTTGTGGAGGTGCAATCGCATTGCCTTTCAATCGCATCATCCTGCATTGCAATATCATTGCGTTGCGTTGCAATCGCATTGCTTTGTATTGCATTGGATTGCATTGCGTCCTCCTTCCTCAGTCCCTTGAGCCGGGGGAAAACGGAGGAGGAGGGAGGAGGACAGACCCCTCGGACCATGTTTGGTTTTCCTCCTTCTCCTCCCTTCTCCCTCCTGCGTCTGGGGCCAGGAGGTGGAAGAGGGGACGGAGGAGAAGGAGGTCACGACGACGACGTGTTCTGGAAGATTGCGTTCGTGGGTGTAGAAACGATGTATGTTCATAGTCAAGCAGGGCAGCGTTGGTCGCCTGCTGCCCACCGCCCCCCCCCCCGCCGAAGCGCCCGCCCGCTCAACCCGAACCTTCCATGCCAGCACCAAGGCCGAGCTGGTCGCCTTCGTCTGCGTCGGCGAGTGCCATGGCGATGTCCTGGTCGCTCGGCACGGCGGCCGCGGCGGGGGGGGCCTCGGGCGAGCTCGAGATGTCAATCTCGCTCGCTGGTATGCTCCCGAAGGACCTTGCCCAGCAAACGCGCTTGGGCAAGTTGGGGCGGGGCTCGCTGGCCGCCGCGCCATCGTCGCTGTCCAGGAGCTCCCTTTTCACCGAGGGAGACGCGGGCACGGACTCCTTATCCAGCAGGCCTTCATGAGGCGGAGCTGCTTGTCCATGAGCGCAGCGTGCTCCTCGGCATTCCGCATCACGCCGTTGTCGACATAGTCGTAGAGGATCTTGCCCGCCGCGGCGGTGATGAAGTGGCCGACCTTCGGGGACCTTGTGACGTCAGAGTCAAGCCCCGCCAAGCGCTCAAACACATCCTCGGGGGTGTTCACGACCACGGAAGACCGCTTCAATAAGGCCGCGACGTTCGTCTTGGAGATGTCCTTGGGAAACGTGCGCTGTAGCATATCGCATAAGTACTGGTTCCGCATCTTCTTGGCCCTCTCCAGCGGCAGGACGTCCAGGCCGCGCCACGCGTCCAAGCTGGGGACGGCCTCTTCGTTGTACATGTTCTCCGCGGCGAAGCGCGCCTGACCCCGAACGAATTTCGCTGCCCCCCAGCGCTCCCTCGTCATCGCTTGGAACTGCCCGACGTCCAAGAATGCCTTCAGAGTCTTCGGGCGCTGCTCGAACAAATCGCCGTCGTCGAACACGCACGGGCAATACTTCGCGCCCTCCTCGGCCCTGAAGAAGTCCAGGTCTGGCGCCTCTCGGTACGAGGCCAAGCCGCGGTCCCCCTGCTTGTCTGCGTAGTAGTCGCCCATCGCGAAAGCCAGCGTCTCCAAGTACGGCGTCTTGGCCTCGCCAGGCTCGCCGACCATGAGGTAGGAGTGGCTTTTGAACGTAGGGGCGAGGCGCTTTGCGCGCTCGACGCCCTCGTCCCCCGCGTCGAAGATGAAGAGGGGGCTGTACGTGATCTTCTTCGCTTGAATGCTCTGGTCCTTGATGTGCGAGAGAACCTCCTTGATTTTCCCCTCCTTCCGGTGGTGGACAGGGCTCTGCGGGTCGTTCAGCTGGAAGTCGATCCACATCACCTGATCGCAATCGAGGTTGCCGCGCGGTGCGTTGTCCTTTATAAACTGGTACTGGGATACGATCACGTCCTGGGGGATGCACGCCTTCTTCTCCGTTGTGCCCTTCTCCCGCGGGAGTAGGTGGTGCCGAAAGTGCGTGCCACCGAGCCGATCCATCATGTAGACCAAGACTTTCCACGGCGTCCTCACGCCCGAACCCTTCCCCCACGACAGCTTGCACAGTACTTCATCATCGCGGAGGAGGTGCCTCTCGACGTCGGCCACCAACTGCGGACTCGAGAACATGAAGTAGTTGAGTATGTCTGTCCCGTCGCCATCGCCTGCGGGCACCGTGCCACCTGCATCGTGTAGAGGGCTTCCCAACTTGTTTTGGGGCGCAGCGGCTCTGGCAAGCCATTGTAGTCGTTGACCAGCATGGCCTCCCGCACCGCGTCCAAGCCGATGTCCCCATGATAGCCCATCTCAACGGCAAACGCATGCCTCATTCTTTTCAGCCCGTCGGACGGCATAATGGGCAAGTCTCCAATAGCGTAGAGCGCATGCGGGTCGTCCTGGAACTCCTCTGGGCGCGTCGCAGTCTGATGCATCGGGACGGCCGAGTCGTGGCCGCGGACCCTCTCGAACACCTGATTGATCTTCTCGCTCTCGGCCCCCTCGAGCTCCAGGTGTGCCTTCATCGACCTCATGCCAAGAGCGGGCAAGTTAGCCATGGCCTGAGAGTTGCCGACGGCTTGCGGACGCGCGGGAGTATCCGAGAACCCTGGGGCGGCGGCGGCGTTGAACCCTTGAGCCTAACACGCGGCAGCCGTCGAACACTTCGAGCGCGAGGGGGGGTGATCGCCGCTGTGCGATAAGTTTACATCCCTGAGACAACCGAGTTGGCAGACCGCTCAATTTTGCACGGATGATATAACCAATGCATGTTTCATATCTAAGTTGCCGCTGCTCACGGCGCGAAATAGCGAGGACGCTGGCACAGCGGAGGGGGTGAGAGGGGTGGGCGACGTCTCCCCGCCAGAGGAAACGGACAAGTTCACCGTGACATTTTATATAGCTTGAGATCGAGCGGGGCAGCGTTGGCCGCTGGCCGCCCTGGCTCGCCCCGTTGAGCCCCGCGGGCTCATGCGCCGAAATCCCTGTGCCACAAGAAGCTCAGCATGTCCCCCGTGCGCTGCCAGTAGTCGGCGCCGCGGTTCCAGTATTCCCATTGGAACGAGCGGATCTTCTGTCGGAGAGTCTTTGTGTGCACCGACTTCTGGCCGCCGAGGTGCTTGGGAAGACCGCCCCAGCAGCGGTCGATGATTTGCGTGCCGGCCATCACCCGCAGCTTCTTCATGGGAGCGCCGTCATCAGCAATGTTGTGCCAGCGGGGCTTGGCGTACTTCGGCTTCACCCAGATATACTTGCCGCGGACCTTGACGCGCTTGCGGCAATGAACAACGTTGTCGTGCTTCACGCCGTCCAGTTTGACCCTGTAGCTCCTGGCGCCGTCCGTGTGCAGCAAGACGCGGCGGCCCTTGAGCCGCTTCTTCGCCGCGGGCATCCAGTCCCGTTTGCGGATGGCCCCTGGGCCTGGCGCCCTCTTCTTCGTCCGCGTGGGCTTCAGCCTAAAGAGCACGAGCGTGTCTGGGGCACCTCTCTCCGCGATCCCGCCCCACTGCTTCCTGTCGACAGGTTCGGAGCCGCCGTCCGCGGATACCTTTTTCGCAAGGTCCACCTCGTCGGCCTCGATGTCGTTCCAGGCCTCGCCCTGCCCGAACTGGATGGACTTCTCCTTCGCCGTGACGTACGTCTCCCTGGTTGCATACAGGCGGCCGTGAACGCCTTCGACCATCTTGTGGTTCTTGTCGACGAGGCGCCCAGTGCGCACCTGCGAGGCCCCCGCCACGACCGAGAACAAGGCAGACGCTTGATCTCGCAGGGGCGCGCGCGATTGCCCCGTGCCCGCCACGAAGATCGGGTGGAACGCGTGCGGCAAGACGTGCCGATGGCACCCGCTGTGGTTGCACCTGTGGCCCCACCCGCCCTGCTTACGGGACCACTTTTTGAGAGTGCCGAGGGTGCCCTTGGTGCAATGCGGGCAGCTGGCCCCCGCCCACTCTGGCAAGTGGCCGTGCTTCTTGAGCACGTTGATGACGTGCTTCTCGACCTTGTTCATGAAGTCGGACAACCCCGAACACCACTTCACCCTATCGTTCCGAATCCTTTCCGTGCGGATCCCGTGCCGCACGTAGGGTATGCGTTTGGGCGGGTTGTCCTCGGCCTTCTTCACCGCCTTCATGGCGCTGTGGTCCTTTTCATTATTGCTGGGCTTCTTGCTTGGCGGCGCGCGCATGGCCGTTCGATCCTGGATCGCCGCCTTGCCCTTCCCCCTTTTCGGCAAAGGGAAGTTGGCCATGGCCGCCCGAATCGACTGCCCGACCAGAGGGCGCAGGCGGAGGCGGCGGGCGTCATCATCCCAGCTGCGGCATGCAGCTCAGCGACTTCATCCCAAGGGCGGGGAGGTTGGCCATGATCAGGGATATATCAAGGGCTTGTGGGCGTGCGAAAGTGTTCGGACACTCTGAACAAGCCTGATCACTAGTGGCGGCAGGACAACGAGGTGGCGGGGGTGGCCACAGGCAGGCGGGGGCTGAACCAACGACAACGACGCGACGACCGCGACGGCTGCTCTTGATCAGACCACTGCGGGGGGGGGGGGGGGGGGGGGGGGGCATGTCGGCAGACTACGCATTTTTTCTTTGACCTTCGAACCAACATGCAAATCGCACGGCTAAGTCGGGCCAGCCAGTTTAAAACAACAATATGTAGTTATACTTACGGAGGGGCAGCGTTGGCCGCTGGCTGCCCCCCCCCCCCCACCGAAGTGGCCACCCGCTCACTCAGTCACCCCAGGCGGCGGCGCAAGCGCGGAGGCCGAACAATGGCCCACGTGCATGCGGTGGTTCGGCTGCACGCCGCCCACCTCGGTCGTGCCAGCCCCAGCGGCGGCGTGGGAGGGGGAGAGAGAGAGAGAGAGAGAGAGAGAGAGAGAGAGAGAGAGAGAGAGAGAGAGAGAGAGAGAGAGAGAGAGAGATAGAGAGAGAGAGGGGGAAAGAGAGAGAGAGAGAGAGAGAGAGAGAGAGAGAGAGAGAGCGGGCCAGGGAGCGGGGATATGGGCGCGGGTGGCAATGGCAATAGCAACGGCAGCCGCCGTGTCATCAATGGCATGCGCAGCGGCATTTGCAGCGGCAAAAGCAACGCCGCGGCGGCGGCAGCAGTAGCGTATCAATGGCCATCGCTAGTACCGCGATCGCCGATCGATCTCCGCCGCCGAGATCTGCCGGATCGCCCCCAAATCATCGGCCGCGCGCGCGGGCGAGCGCCCCGCGTCAAAGACCACTGCGCGGTGGGGGGGTAGGCCGAGCATCTGCTGAACGATTCATTCCATCCTGCACCGCGTGGTGGACCACTCCACCTCCACCGTGTCGTGCCAGTGCGGGCGGTCGGGGGACGTGAGTGCCAAGGTGCACTCGCGGTCGCGGTCATCGTGGTGGACGCATTGCGCCGCCACTTCGAGGCACATGTGCTCGCGGACAAGCACGTCTCCTACTGCGGGGTCGTCCGACATCCACAGCGGGCCCGCGAAGCCTGGCGCCAGGAAGGGGGCCCCAGTCTTCTGGAATTGGAAGAAGTTGGGCCAGATGCACGCAGTGAATTTGTCCTGGGGCCAACCGAAAATACACTGCTCACCACCCCAGTGCGAAGTTGGGCGGTTGGGTTTGAATGAAAAACAAATAGCACCACCCGTGTAAACGCGGCAAAACCAACGCTGGGTTCACCGCCCCTGTCCTCGCCCGCGGCCAAGCGCTGAGACTGCGAAAGCCCGATCCTGCGCCACGCTGAGTCGGGCGGAATGGGGCTGCCAGGCGCGACGTTCTGGACGAAGGCGTACTCGAAAGCCATGGCTTTCGAGCGGGAATGCCAGATCACTGGGCGGGCGGGCCAGATGCCAGATCACTCCGAAGGGGCCCGAGCACTCGCGGCGACGGAGGGCGGGGGGGGGGCGAGCGGGCGGCCGCTGGCAAGTCTGGCGACGACGACGACGCGACGATGACGGCAAAGACTAGCCCTCATCACATCCACAATGGGAAGGCCGAGTCGTGTCTGTACGTGCGGCACGACGCACGGCAGGCAAGGCGCGCGTACGAAGTAAGACAAGTGCATATGCGCTTGCCATGGCCGACGTGAATAACCGCGCACTCTTGCACGCAGCTTGATACGTTGCAGCGGGTGTGTCATCTCATATGAATCAGCGGCGGCGGGCGGGCGGCGGCCGCGCCCTGCCCCCGCGCGGCGCAGCGCGCCGGCGGCGCCGCCGCGTGCCCGACGGCGTCGCCGCCCTGGGCGCGGCGTCGAAGTGTTCTCCTGGGCGCCGACGCTGATGCTACTCCCCTGGTGAATGATCCCACCCCGCCTCCGCCCTCAACTTCGCAATCGCATTATCGCGCGTACCAGCGGCGACAATCGCGACGGCAACGCCGCGGTCACTGCGCAGTTGGCAATGCTGAGCAACAGTCAGAAAGGATAATAACGATTCACGATGAGGACGCAGGCGCCTCGGCCGACCAGGTTGGCATTTTCGAGGATGCAACGCCCGAGTGGTGCAAGGCGAAGACGAAGGATGCAAGGGTACCCGTGGTTAGCTGTTCATCCTTATTGCATGCTTTGACTGCGACCTTGAACCGCGACGGCGACGCTGACGACCGCACCGATGATGTTGTTTTGCGCCTGCGGGAAATAATGTGCGTTCATAGTTGCGGCGCGCGCTGGGTGCTTTCGCCCGCCCGACGCGCGCCGCGATCAAGGGAAAATCAAACATCGATGCGTGGTCGCGTGCGCCAGGGCGCGCGTCCATACATCAAGCGAATAGATGTGATGTCACCACTTGGTCTTCGTGAGCGCCGCCCACTCCACATTCTTGCGCGCGCTCTGCTGATCCCACCAGGCCGCGTACTTCAGGTGCTTCGCGGTGGCGAGGTGCGACTCGTCGGCGCACTCGTTCGGCGCGTCGCGGATTACCAGCGGGGTCGCGTTGCAAGAGGGGGGCGTCTTCGATGGGCCCGTGCTCCACTGCGTCCTTCGGCATCTCCCAGGTGCTCACCCTGTTCACGACGTCGTAGTAGTAGGGCTTGGAATTCCCAGTGCGGGGGTCGACGTAGGTGTAGACCTCCCAAGTCGACGTCGGGGGCGGAGGCGGCGGGGGCGCAGACGCCGCGGCGGCGCAGACCGTCGGCGTCGTTGGCCACGAGGCCCACGACTGCGACGGCGCCGCGGCAGTGGACGGCGGCGCCGCTGCCCAGGCCACTGGGCCCGCGGGGGGGCGCGAGTTCCACGGGTCCGACGGCGCCGCAGCGGCGGCGGCCGTCGTCGGCGCCGTTGACCACGAGGCTCGCGCTGCCCAGGCCACTGGGCCCGCGGGGGGGTGCGAGACCCACGGGTCCGACGGCGCCGCAGCGGCGGCGGCCGTCGTCGGCGCCGTTGACCACGAGGCCCGCGACTGCGCGGGCGCCGCGGCGGCGAAGCTGCAAGCCAAGGTTTCGAAGTACTGCGCTTTGGCATCGTCTGGGACAGGCCCCGAGTGCCAACCCCCGTGCACGTCGAAGCGCAAGACCCCCCCGTGCTTGCCGATCTTCTCTTTGACGCCCCCCAAGAACATCGCCAACGAGGCCCTCGCTGCCTTGCAAGTGGCGGGCTTGGCTCCTCCAAGGTCGCAGACGACGACGCGCCCGCCGACCGTCTGGCCGACGTTGTCCAAGCGCATGTCGCCCGCGCAAACCCCAGCTCGGGCAGCCGCAAGGATCGCCCGCGCGCCCCCTTGGATAAAGCCATTGATCTTGCCCTCGTCTTTTGCTGAAGACGCGGCTTCCACGGCGTCCTGTAAATCGGGGCAGGCCAAACGCTCCGCGAAGAGCGCGCACACTGGCGTCAGCTTGCCCCACGTGTTAGTGATGTGGCCATAGCATAATCCAGGCGCCATGACTTTCGGTGAGAACGCATTGGCGCTGTCCCTCAACATGGCGTCGTACTCGTGCTGGTTTGTGCGCCAGTCGTCCCTTCCTCCGTAAGTGGTGACAAGCTCGGCGTCCGGCGAGTCCGGGGGCGCCTGCACCTCGATCTTCGCGATCAAGTCGCCGCTCACGACGTGCGTATTGCGGCTCTGGCCAGCACCGAGCTTTGTGACAGCGAGAGGCTCGCCCTCGCAGCCGAGCAGGGTGATGGTGCCGATCTCTGGGAAGCCAGCCTTCTTGTACGACGTCTCCGCGTTGCCGAAGACCATGGTGAATGCTGATGGCAGATCGGAAAGCGGCCGACGCGAAGCGTTTGCTTGCTGATCTCGGGCCGCAATGGCAACGGAAGAGCGAAGAACGCGATCACCGTGCTCAGCGCACGCACTTCCCAACTCCAAATCGCATGCCCGTTCCTCGCACGCGCGGCGAAATCGCCCCTCCGATTTTCGAAGCGCCCGCGGGTTGGGCGCGCGGCGCGCCGAGCTCCCAACCCGCGGGCGGCGACCTGGGAGCAGGGCGCGCCCGAAACAATTTGTCGATGCCTGATCTCTGCAAACATCCGAAGGGGAGCCATCGCACTCGGGAGTTCATCGGCCTGGGCCCCAATCGGAAAGCACAAGCCCTGAACATGGCAAGGCGATCGGCGCACTCGCCAGGGGAGAGCGCGGGGCAGGCGGCGCGATCCTCGGCGGCGGCTGGCAGCGCGGGGCAGGAGCGCGGCGGCCGCCCGCGCCGTCGCACCGTCGCCTGCGGGGGCGGCGCAGATCGCTGCCACGATGCGATCTAACGACGGGATCGATCGACAATGAGCGATTGCGGGGTCGTACCAGTAGTCGTCGTAGTAGTAGTAGTAGTAGTAGTAGTAGTAGTAGTAGTAGTAGTAGTAGTAGTCGTCGTAGTAGTTGTGGCAGCAGCAGCATTCGTACCAGTATTTTATTATTATTAGTAGTAGTAGTAGTAGTAGTAGTAGTAGTATTATTAGTAGTAGTAGTAGTCGTAGTCGTAGTAGTAGTAGTAGTAGTAGTAGTAGTAGTAGTAGTAGTAGTAGTAGTAGTAGTAGTAGTAGTAGTAATAGTAGTAGTGGTAGTTGTAGTAGTAGTAGTAGTAGCTGTAGTGTGTCATTAGCGGGGCCCTTTCTGCCTTCAAAAACAGGGGCATCCAAACCAGAATGCCCCTCATGTTCGACGTGTAATCGACTTGACACCAGGCCCTAAACGGAGGAGCATCACGCATGCTATGTTTCTAAGTAGTAACAATAATAGTGGTAGTGGTCGTAGTAGTAGTAGCTGTAGTAGCACATGCACAGGCCCTTTTTTCTGCCTTCAAAAACAGGGGCATCCAAACCAGGATGCCCCTCACTTTCGACTTGTAATCGAATGGGCACCAGGCCTTCAACGGAGGAGCATCACGCATGCTATGTTTCTAGGTAGCAGCAATAATAGTGGTAGTGGTCGTAGTGGTCGTAGTAGTAGTAGTAGTAGTAGTAGTAGTAGTAGTAGTAGTAGTAGTGGTAGTAGTAGTAGTGGTAGTAGTAGTAGTAGTAGTAGTAGTAGTAGTAGTAGTCGTAGTAGTAGTAGTAGTAGTAGTAGTAGTACTAGTACTAGTACTAGTAGTAGTACTATAGTAGTAGTAGTAGTAGTAGTAGTAGCACATGCACTGCCCAATTTTCTGCCTTGAAAAACAGGGGCATCCAAACCAGGATGCCCCTCATTTTCGACGTGTAATCAAATTGATACCAGGCCCTACAACGGAGGAGCATCACGCATGCTGTGTTTCTAACTAACAACGCCGAGAGCGCTTTAATCGTCCCCCGCCTGTTTTCTCAGTTTCGAGTGCTCGGGCCCTTTCTACCTTCGATGAGAGGGGCATCCAAAACAGGATGCCCCTCTTTGTCAACCGCCAATCGAATCGACGTCGGCCCTTGTTGCACCATCGCAACCCCGCCCTGTGTTTCTTTTCTCTTGGGCTTGCACGTGCAAGGCCGGTGGCCGAATTAGTCGTTGGCCGCGGCAGCGGGCTACTGAGTGCCGAAGCACCCGTCCCGCAGGCTCGCCCCGCGGCCTTTTGGCCGCTTGGCGAGCTCGTGGTAAGCCTCCCGCTGCGCTCTGGAGGCGTTCAGCATGAACCTGCTCTTCTCCGTGGAGATGCAGCGGTTCTTCGCCTGACGGGAGGGGGGCGCAAGGGGGGGCGGAGGCCGCCCCCAGGCTCCGCCCAAGCGAGCTCCAAGTTCCGTTTGTTGCTGGAGGGAGGGGTTTGTGTGGGAGCGTTTTTTGTTTGCTTCGCCATCGAAAAGCTTGGGCCTTGCTGAGGGCAGTCTGCAAGCTGCAGAGCTCCTTGTTCGCCTTCTCCCAAGCGGCCTCCTCGCCCTCCCGCTTCCCCTTCGCCAGAGCGGTGCGCGCCGTCCGCTTGGCGGCGTCGCGCTCGCCGCGGGCCTCGGCCAGCTGGTTGTGCAGGGCGTCGTTCTTGCTTTTCACCCGGTCGAAGGCCTTGCTGGCGTTCTCGGCCGTGCGCTATGGAGGGGCCAGAAAGTTTCGGTGTCGGTCGCTGCGCTGCGGCTAAAGTTTGCGGTGTTTGGTTTGTTTGCTGCGTGGGTTTTTTGCGGTGGTCCCTTTTCGTTTGTTTTGTTGGCTTGCTCTGTGCGTTTCTCTTAAAGGGAGGGTGTGTGTTTGGTGCCCAACAGCCGTGTGCAGGAAGACATCACGGCGAAGGTAGAAGTTGTCCTTTTTCTTCGCGGCAACCTCCTTCTGGAGGTCGGCTTTCTGCTGCTTCAGGGTCTTGACGTTGTTGCGGACCTTCTGCAGGTGCACTTCCAACCCTCGGCGGAGGTGCTCCTTAACCCAGGGCTTCTTGAGCCACTTGGCGATCGAGGCCGCACGTTTGCGGTCTCGGCAGTTGTTCTGCTTGGTCGTCTGGGCTTTTTTCGATCTGGCTGGCATTGGGGGGGCAGCGCACGGCTAACAAAGCAATGCAACAAACAAGAAATTACGGCCAACGACCCGGAGCGGCGTGGCTACGGATGGACAAGGGGAGAAGCATTGACACGTAACCATTCAAAGGAAGATAACAAACGATGGGAGTGGCGATTCGGAGGGTGACAAGATCACCCTTCCCCCCGCCCTCCCCCCCTCCCTCCCTCCCCCCTCCTCCGCCTCCTCCTCCTCCTCCTCCTTTCCCTCCTCCCTCCACTATCCCTTCCTCCTCCTCCTCCTCCTCCTCCTCCTCCTCCTCCTCCTCCTCCTCCTCATCATCATCATCATCATCATCATCATCATCATCCTCTCTCCTTCTCCCTCCCCCCCCCCTCTCCCGCGAGCGCGCGCAGGACGAGGATGGGGTTGAAGGGGTAGGAAGAAGGAAGGGGAGGGATAATATCTGCTCCTTGCCCTCCTCCTCCTGCTTCGTCTCTTCATCCTCACCATCGTCCCCCTCCCCTTCCACATCCTCATCCTGCTTCTTCTCTTCATCCTCCTCTTCCTCCTCCTCCTCCCCCTCCTCCTCATCCTCTCCTCATCCTCCTCCTCCCTCCTCCTCCTCCTCCTCCTCCCTCCTTTCCCCCCTCCTCCTCTCCTCTTCTTCCTCCCTCTCCCCATCCTCCTCCTCCCCCTCCTCCTCCCCATCCCCCTCTTCCACCTCCTCCTCCTAATTCTTCTCTTCATCCTCATCCTCCTCCTCCCCCGCCTCCTCCTCCTCCTCCCCCCCCTCATCCTCTTCTTTCTCCTCCTCCTCTTCCTCCCCATCCCCATCCTCCTCCTCCTCCTCCTCTTCCAGAAGAGCAGGAGAATGACGATACTCAAGAACGGGAGGGGGAGGGAAGGAGGGAGAGGAAAGGACGTCGGAACATAACATGGCGTGAGGTGGGAGCGGGAAGGAAGGAAGATAACAGAGAGAATGCTCGGCCCCAGGAGGGCCTCGGATGCTCCAATATGGCCCCTATCATGGCTCAAGATAGCCGATCATGGCTCAAGGAATTAGTATTGCTTGGTTATTGTGTTCCTATTGTATTCTTGATTGAATTCTTCATATTAGAAGAGCAGAGGAGAGAAGGAACCAGAACGTATGAGAAGGATGATAATAGGAGGAGGAGGGTAAGGAGGAAGAGGAGGAAAGATAAACAGGAACGGACGAGGAGGAGAACGATGAGCAAGGAAATGGATAATGAGGAGGATGCCCCACAAGCGATTGCATTGAATTGGTTAGGAACCGATTGGATTGCAATCGATTGGAATCGATTGGATTGGAAACGATTTGATGGGTCGTGGTTTGGGGGTGCTGGGGGGGGGGCGAGCATATATATATATATATATATATATATATAGCTTATAGGGCTCATAAGGTTCATAGGGCTCAGAGGGCTCCGGGGATTCCGAGGTCTCCGAGGGCTCAGGGGGCTCCGAGGGGTTACGGGGTTCCGAGGGCTCAGAGGGCTCCGAGGAGCCACCTCTCATGGCTCAGAGGGCTCGGGGGGCTCCGGAGCTCAGAAAGGGCTCAGAGGGCTTGGAGGGCCCAGAGAGCTCCGAGGGCTCCGCGGGCTCATAGGGCTCAGACGGCTCGGCTGGCTCAGACTCAGAGGGGCCAGAGGGCTCAGAGGGCTCAGAGGGCCCCGGGGGCTCCGAGGGCTGAGAGTGCTCCGAGGGCTCGGAGGGCTCGGAGGCTCAGAGGGGGCAGAGGGCTCAGATGGCTCATAGGGCTCATAAGGCTCATAGGTATAAGGCTCAGGGAGCTCCGGGGGCTCGGAGGGCGGAGGGCTCCGAGGGGTCCGAGGGCTCAGAGGGCTCGGAGGGCTCAGAGGAGCCAGAGGGGCCAGAGGGGCCAGAGGGCTCAGAGGGCTCAGAGGGCTCAGATGTTTAGAGGGCTCATAGTAGGGCTCCAGGGGCTCAGAGGGCTCCGAGGTGGCTCCGAAGGGCCTCGGAAGGCTCCGAGGGCTCAGAAGGCTTAGAGGGTTCGGAGCCCTGTTGGGCCGTCCCAGGACCCTCTTGGGCCGTCTTGGCGGGATTCGGCCGTCTTCGGGCCCTCTGGGGACCCTCCTGTGGCCTCATGTGGCCCTCTTGTGGCTCTCTTGGGCACCTTTCGGGGCCCTCTGGGGCCTCACTTGGGCCGTATTGGGGCTCTCTTGGGCCGCCTTGGAGCCCTCTTGGGCCGTTTTGGAGCGCTCTTTGGGGCCTCTGCGCCGTCCTGGGGCGATACTGGGAGCCCCTTGGGCCGTCTTGGACGCTGTTAAGACCAGAAAAGTTAATATATTTAAAATGTACGATTTCCTTCGGGGATGAGGCAATTTTTGCGTTTGGGGGGTCCTCTTGGGGGACTCTTGCGGCGTCTTGGGGGCCTCTTCTTGGGCCGCTTTGAAGCCATATTGGGCCCTCTTTGAGCGCTGCTGGGCCGTCTTCGGGCCCTCTTGGAACTCTCCGACGCCGTCTTGGAGGTATATTGGGCGCTCTTGGGGCTGTCTTGGGCCGTCTTGGGGGCCTCTTAGGCGCTCTTGGGGCTGACTTGGGCCGCCTGGGGCCGAAGATGGCCGAGATTAGGGCCGCTAGATCTACCCCGTCGGGCTGCCTACCCCCCCTTGTTATTTCTCCCGACTAACGGATCGCGACGCTGCGCGCGCTTTCCGTCATCTAGGGGCTCGGGCTGCCTCCCCCCCCCCCCCCCTGTTATTTCTCCCGATTAACGGATCGCGACGCTACGCGCGCTTTCCGTCATCCTCCGCCCACTGTTGATTCATCACAGGGGTGCCCGGCGTGCTAGACCCTTTCGGTTTTGGTTTTGGTTCTTTTCCAAAAGAACTCCATCTGGGGCTTCGGCCCGTCCCGCCGGGGTCCCGGAATGGCCCGCAACGGCGCCCAAGAGCGCGCAATCCGCAGAGAAATTTTCCCGAGACTGCTCAAGATGGTTTCCAAAACCGCCCAGATGGCGCAAGATGGCCTCCAAGATGCCTCCGAGACGGCCAAGATGGCCTCCAAGACGGCGAAGATGGCTTCAAGATGCCTGCAAGTTCTCCCAAGAAGCCTCCAAGACGGCCCAAGACTTCTCAAGAGTCCCCCCAAAGGCCTCCATGAGGTTCTCCAGGAGGGCCCGAAGAGGCCCAAATCATTTATTTTCGTTAAGTTTTTGAAAGATTTTGGCATTTGCTTCTTTTCGGTTTTCCGAAGGCCCAAGACGGCTCAAGAGGCCCCCAAAATCGCCCCAAGATCGCCCAGGAGGCCTCCAAGTGGCCCCATGACGGCCCAAGATGCCCCGAAGACGCCCCAAAGAGGGCCCCAAGACGGCCCAAGAGGCCTCCAAGACGCACAGGATGGCTTCCAAGTCGCCCAGGATGGCCTCCAAGAAGGCCCTGAGGCGCCCCGAGAGGGTCCTAAGATTGCCCAGAGAGGCCCCCAAAACGGCTTCCCACGGCGTCAGACGGGCCAGGAACGCCCTAGGACGGCCAAAGAGGCCGCCAAGAAGCCCCCAAAGGCACACCAGAGGCCCAAGGAGGCCCCCAAGAGGATTCCAAGAGGCCCCGGAGAAGCTCCCAGGAGGCCCCGAGGGTGCCCCAAGAGGCTCCCAAGGAATCCTCCTCCTCCTCCTCCACCCTTTCTCCTTAGAGCTTAGAGATAGATCCTCCCTGTCGCACCACCAGGCGTGTGTTAAGGGCGGGCCGGGCGTTTCGCTTGAGACTTCCTCGCCATCTATGATCCTGAAGCTTGAAAGTTTGCAGAAGAACAGTTACACAGATGGGGGGTGGGTCGTTTTCAAAATGGGGTTCTCGCCTTGGCGCCGCGGACATTCGTCTTAACAGTTTGCAGCAACAGTTACACGGATGGAGGGCGGTTCTTTTTCAAAATGGGGCTCTCTCCTTGGCGCCGCGGACATTCGTCTCAAACGTTTGCAACAGTTACACGGATGGAGGGCATGTCGTTTTCAAAATGGAGCTCTCCTTGGCGCCGCGGACATTCGTCTTGAAAGTTTGCAACAGTTACACGGATGGAGGGCGGTCCCTTTTCAAAATGGGGTTCTCGCTTTGGCGCCGCGGATATTCGTCTTGAGAGTTTGCAACAGTTACACGGATGGAGGGCCGGTCGTTTTCAACATTGGGGACTCGCCTTGGCGACGCGGACTTTCGTCCTAAACGTTTGCAACAGTTACGCGGATGGAGGGCGGGTCGTTGTCAAAATGTGGTTCTCGCTTTGGCGCCGCGGACATTCGTCTTAAAAGTTTGCAACAGTTACACGGATGGAGGGCGGTTCCTTTTCAAAATGGGGTTCTCGCTTTCAGAGGATATAGTTTTCAACAGATATGAAAGCGCAATTGCTTGATCAGCCAAGAATCTGCGATATTACATTTCTGCGCGCGCACACTTCCTGATCAATGTCAGGCCCATGGGGCGCCTGTCAGGCCAATGGGGCGCCCGTCTTTCAAGGGCGCGCGTCCGGGTGTGAAAAGGGAATACTTCTATGGACTTATGAGGAGGGGACGTGGGGCGGGAGGGTGTATAGCAGCATCGCTGATGTATCCTGGATTATATATGGTCCTCCTCCTCCTCCTCCTCCTCCTCCTCCTCCTCCTCCTCCTCTTCCTCCCTCTCCTATCTCTCCTGAGCCTACAAGGGGTCGGGCTCCCTGACGCTGTACCTGGCCGCGCAGCAGTGGAACTTCGACCCCATATTCCACGCTACCTTCAGCATCGTGGGGCAGTGCGCGGCGTGGGTGTGGGATGGGCGTGTGACGCTCTCCCGACTGCAGCGGGCCTGGATGGGCTTGCGTGACTCCTGGGAAGCCCGCCACACTCACGTCACGTGGGCCAGTGCGCAGGGCCCGCTTTCGGCCTTGTGGTTGTCCCTCAGGAGAGTCAACTGGAACATGGCAAGTTCTACAATCTTGGTTGACGATGAGGGCCTGCATATCAGTTTGCTGCAGTATTGTCCCAGTGAGGTGCTGTTTTTCCTGCGTCGCAGCCTCGA